AGTTTCCATTGTGTTTTGCTATTGCTGTAAGGACAACTCTTCGGAGGAATTTTGTACATTGGCACACAAATAAACAGGCACACTTATTCAATTACATCTATAAAATAAATTTCTTACTCCAGTGGTTTGAGTTCTAGATTTTAGGCCTCTTTCCAAATCAATATGTAGATCCATTTTATCATTATCTTTATATTTCCTTCTATGGATAGTCCATTTTCTAAAAGCGGTTCCCTATTCATTATTATTACAAAACATGAAGAAATAAATATTCTCATGCATGCACTTAAGCACATTTATATGAATACTCATTCCCTTGTTTAATTAAACTTTAAAATTGAAATAAACCTTGGTATAAAAATTATCAGAGAAGCAGGGACGCCTGGGTGGCTCAGAAGCATATTAAATGAAAAGTATAAATTCCATCCTATCCTTTTCTTCCTACCTCCAGTTCAACTCCTTGGAGGTAAATCACAGACATTCTCTATTCATTTATTTCTCTTATGAATTTCCTCCACATATCCTGTATGTGCTAATGATGTTTCTGATCATAGAACATCCATGCTCTCTCTTTTGCAACTACACCCTGATTTTTAGGAATACCCACTCTTCCCCCACTAAATCTGCTTCAGCTACTCTGGCTTCGTTGTTCTTCACACACATAAAAATGAATTAAAAATATTCCAGTTTCAGGGCCTTTGCATTTGCCACTGCCACTGCCTAGAAAGCTTCTCCTTAGATTCCCAAAGCTCTCCTCCTTAATCCTTTAGGTCTTTGCCCAAATTCTATCTTGCCAGTGAGGTATTCCCTAATTGTGCCATTTAAAATGGTAGCCGCCACCATAACAACATCTTTCTAGATATGTCTCCTGAGGCAAAGGAAACAAAAGCAAAAATAAACTATTGGGACTACATCAAAATTAAAAAGCTTCCGTACAGCAAAGGAAGCATCAACAAAACAAAAAGACAACCCACTGAATGGGAGAAGATATTTACAAATGACATATCCCATAAAGGGTTAGTATCCAAAATATATAAAGAACTTCTACAACTCAACACCAAAAAAACACAAAAAATCCATTTAACAAATGGGCAGAAGACACAAACAGACATTTCTCCAAAGAAGACATAAAGATGGCCAAGAGACGCATGGAAAGATGCTCAACATCACTCATCATCGGGGAAAAGCAAATCAAAACCACAGTGAAATATCACTTCACACATGTCAAAATGGCTACAATAAAAAACACAAGAAATAACAAGTTTCTTGTGGAGAAAAGAGAACCTTCTTGCACTGTTGGTGGGAATGAAAACTGGTGCAGCCACTGTGGAAAACAGTATGGAGATTACTCAAAAAATTAAAAATAGAATTACCATATGATCCAGTAATTCCACTACTGGGTATTTACCCAGAGTATGAAAATATATATATACAAAATGCATATTGTATCCTAGCATTACAATGCAGGTAACACTGCCAATTCAATAATGATCTGGCACTAGGACATTTAAATACAGGGACACTGTGACCTCCTTCTACACTGTTTGGGTTAGTCCAGGTTTAAAGTCACTCATGTTCCCGAAGACCTGAACACCTCCACTGTTTCCCTGAGTGTTTGGGAGCCACACTCTAAGTTCAGACACTCAAGTGGCTGTCTCATTCCTAGTTCATAGCAACCAGGGATAAATTAGTAGAAGAGTCCTATTTGGTTCTTTGGGATTTAAGAGCAGAAGTAAAGGGGCACCTGGGTGTCACAGTTGGTTAAGCGACTTCCTTCAGCTCAGGTTATGATCCCGCAGTCCTGGGATTGAGTCCCGCATCGGGCTCCCTGCTCGACAGGGAATCTTCTTCTCCCTCTCACCCTATCCCCTCTTGTGCTCTCTCTCTCTCTCTCTGTCTCAAATAAATAAAATAAAATCTTAAAAAAAGAGAGAGAGAGAAGAAGAAAAGATCCACTCATATTTCTCACACACTAATTCCCAAAAACTTCTGGTCAAGACTCCATCTCCAAGTTTGTTCATTACCACATTTTCCATTCACTCAACAAACATTTTTTTAAAAAAATAAACACTAGAGGGAAGTCACCATAAAATGTGCCATGCAGATTCTTTCTGCCTGAAGACAATTATTACAACTAGTCATAAAGTCAAGTTATCTTGTGTCAGGCAGTCTGCACAGGAACTCAAATCCAAAATGATAGTCCAGGGGAATGATGCCATCTACATTATAGATGAGAAAACAGAAATCTACTTTACAGATGAGAAAACAGAGAAGATAGCTATCCAAGGTCACAAACTACATAGTGACTGAGCCAGGACTCAAACCCAGTGCCGCCAAACTCCGAAGCCTGTGATTTTTGCAATACTTCATATTGTCTCTGGATATTATAATCTAGAGGGGGAAATATGAAGTTTGTCAGTAATACACGTTATATGGAAATTATTCAGTTGTGTCCAAGAAGCATTTCTGAGTATGTGAAACCCTGCTAGGTGTTTGAACGAGGTCTAACTTGAATAAGGTAAAGTCTATCTATACCTTCTGCAGGGGACTGTGCATGAATACAGTACAAATAAATGCTGTAATTGGGTTAACAGCAGAGAAGCTTCTGTCTACGTAGGATCAGAGAGGGTATCACAGATGATGTCGGGTATCCAAGTCTGGAAGGCTGAGGAGCATTTCAGCAAGTGGAGAAGGGTAGGAAGAGCATAGGTAAGGTGCAGAAGTCTGGCAGTGTTGAGCATGAGTCTGAAGGGACAGGAGTTGAAGCAGCAAGCAGTCTGAAGGAGTGAATATAAAGAGTTTCCCTGACCACAGGATGGGTGGTCATTGCCATGAAAGGGATCAGCAGGAGACTGATAGAACAAGAAGGGTGAGCTGAATGAGGTCACAGCAAAGATGTAGCAGGTGGGGGGAGTGTGGGTGTAGAAGGTGAATCACAGGGTAGAGGAGCTGGGCACAGCCCATAGGAGGGACGTGGTAGTACAGGGGAGGCGACAGTATGTAGAACTAGCCATCCCCAAGGTTCTGGATGGAGCTGTAGAGTGACAGGCTCGTTTAGACAGGCTCAAAATGTTCCTTCTCAGCCATCCAACTTACACTTTTGCATTGCAAAACTTTCAATCTAGCGGTACGATTACTTCAATTGCTTCGCTAAAGTGGGGGCCTTTAGTCTTGGGTGGTGGGGATGGTGGGGAGCAGCCTTGCCTTGGTAGTATGACTGGAGAGGACACCCCCCCAAATGTTGGGGTGTTAATGAAAAGTTCAAAAGTTCAAAATCTTCCAGTGCAGTGTGTTATCCCAACAGATCAATGAAAGTGCACTTACGAAACATGGCCAAATTAGACGCATTTGTAAATGCTCTCCTAAGTAATGGTTCCTGAAAGTATTCTTTTTCTTTTTCTAAATTGAGATATAACTGACATATAACATTGTTTTAGTTTTAGGTGTACACCAGAATTATTTGATTGCTCCTTCTTCACAGTATTTTATTGAAGACAGGGAGACCTAAGGAAGACTCAGTTCAACTCAGATGTCTTCTGTTTTAGTCCCAGTATTTACAGTTAGTTTAAACATGAAAATAGCAGGTCATAAAAGCATATGATTATTCTGGTGGAAATGGAAAGGAAAAGAGCTACTTAGGGGAGACCATACTGTTTCACTGTTCCTCTGAATTATTTACATTCAGTATGATTAAATTTATTATTTGACATTGGAAATGTATATTAATAACTGACTATGATATATTTAATTGTATAATATTGTATTAGGCTACATATTGGATGTTCTAAGCATATGGACTTTAACCATGCTTATTATTGTAATGAATTCTCATAGTTTTGAGCATCACATACAAAATGCATAATGTGCTTTCTTTTTAAAAATCCCACTGGGAGAGGAAGTTCACCCAAGGGGTGGGGGTGCCACTGAGGTTCACCCTGTTCTTTAAAGTGGAAGAGTCTGTGAAGAGGCAGATTCGAGTGCGGAGCGCTGCTCCTTCCAAGTGGAGAAGGCCTGTCTCCAAGCCAGATCCCAGAGTCATAGGAAACACACACGGATTTCCCCTTTCTTAATATTAGAATCTGACCTCATTCAGTTAAGAGTCTCCTTCATCTTGCCAGCAATCATGCTCTTCCTCTCTGCCTCCCGCTTGCAGAGCCAAGGGGTAGAGGAATCGGGATGCAGAGTAGATACTCCTCCTCATATCACTACTGCTCGTACAAACACCACCACTTCTTCAACCACTTGCTAAGATGTCTTTGGCATTTCCTATTTGCTAGACCTCATTCCAAGGATTTAAATATATTAACTCATTTAATCTCTATAACAACCCTCCGGAGTAACTTCAGAAGAAGAATCCGAAACACAGCAAGGATATAGAAGTGGCCTATATTCATACCACTAATAACAGGTAGAGGGTGAATGATCTGACTTAATCCAGTTTATCAGACAATTAAAGCATCAACATTGTACACTTGGGATGTACTTCAAAATGTAACTCCATAGTAACATTTCCTCTACGGGCGTAATTGACGAGTCATTTGACGAACTTTGACCCTGCAATATTTCCCTATCTCCCCAAATAGCACAATTCATCATTTTTTAAAATTTTTTTAAAAGATTTTCTTTCTTTCTTTCTTTGTCAGAGAGAGAGAAACAGAGAGAGAGCACAAGCAGGGAGAGCGGCAGGCAGAGGGAGAAGCAGGCTCCCCGCTGAACAAGGAGCCCAATGTGGGTCTCAATCCCAGGACCCTGGGATCATGACCTGCGCCCAAGGCAGCCACTTAATTGACTGAGCCACCTAGGTGTCCCCATCATTTTTTTGTTTTGTTTTTAAATAAAGAAGTTAAAGTCAGGAGCAAAGTGGAGTTATTTTTTGCTGTCATGACTATTTAGGATTGGTCTCTTTTGCATAGCTGTTTAAAGGTAGGTTCATAAATAAAAGTGAGTTCACATTCTGTATCTGAGAATTTTGTTTTGCTTTGTTGTATTGGGTTTCTTTTTAGAGGACATTGAAGTGATGTGAATTCTCTGACCCTCATTCCACTATATGAAGAGGAGACAAACACCAAAGTCCAGAAGGGCACGCTTTCGCTTGCCTACATATTGTACCTTGTGCTTGGAGCAATGATATTTCAAGACTTCGAGAAAGACTTTGAGGTACAGTGGTGCCAGTTGGCAGTTAATACAGAAATTGCTTTTCTGAAAAATTGTTCTAATCTGACTCAAGAAGATGTGGAACTCTGTGCAGATAAGAGATGAAGATATGGTTATTTTCAGATGCAGAGAAGGCTTTGAATGGGAAATTATGTGAAATAACTTCCTTCATTGAGACTACTGATAGCTTACCCAAACAGGAAACTTCATTTTAGCTCTGAGCCAGACAGGGAAGAGTGGGAATAAGAAATCATGCAGACTAGAAAGAAGAAGGAAGGCAGCAGATGATAAGAAGGTGGAAGGAGGTGAAAGTCAGAGAAGGAACAGATTACAACCCAATCACTACATGAGGATAAAAACTAAAAATATTCTGATTGAAATGATCCTTTTCATTATTTCAGATGAAGTGCAGACAGATGTTCTGAAAAGGAGATAAGAATTTGGCAGGAAATCTGGCTTATTTCCCTTCCACTTTTTCCAGAGATTGTCATGCTCTAAATTCTGGACACATTGTCCTTAAAATTTTCCCTATGCTACCTTTTGTGGTAGAGTAAATTTAATTTTAATGCAGGCATTCTGATTCCTCTTTTCCTTGAGTGTTTGTATAGTTTGTCTTTCCCAACTTTAATGTCATAAAGACATATTCTTCAACTTTCTTCTAAAAATTTTTAAAATTTTGTTTTACATTTAAATCATTAATTTTTAATTAGATTATTAATCTGGATTGTGTGTGTATCTGTATATGTAAAGTAGGATCTAGCTTTACATATTTTTCTATATGAAGATCCCATTGCTCCAGAACAATTTATTAATTCATTATTTCTCATTAATTTTTAGTGTTATCTCTGTCATATGCCAGGTTCTCATTTGTACATTAATTTGTTTCTGGGCTTTCAATTCTATTCCCTCCTGTTTGAATTACAATAGCCTTGCAATGAGTCCTGGAATAAATTTTCCTACTCTTTTGTATGAATTTCAAGATCAGGTTGTCACATTCCATAATGTACTCTGCTGGGGGTTTGATCGAGATTTCTTTGAATTTGGGGAGAATTATTATGTGATGATATTGAGTATTCTTTTTTTTTTTAAGATTTTTATTTATTTATTTATTAGAGAGCGAGCGAGAGAGAAACAGCATGAGAGAGGAGAGGGTCAGAGGGAGAAGCAGGCTCCCTGCCGAGCCGGGAGCCCGATGTGGGACTCGATCCCAGGACCCTGGGATCATGACCTGAGCCGAAGGCAGTCGCTTAACCAACTGAGCCACCCAGGCGCCCGATATTGAGTATTCTTAAACACAAAATGGAATCTCTTAGTATATAGGAATCATGTAATGCATCATCTTTTGTGGCTGGCTTCTTCCACTTAGCATGATTTTGGTTTGGTTTCAGGGAAGGTTGGGGATCTTTTTAGATAGTTGGCACATAACGTTACATTAGTTTCAGGTGTATAGCATAGTGATTTGACAAGTTATACATTATGTTCACCACAAGGAGCTACCATCTGTGTCAACATATCGCTATTACAATATCATCAACTGTATTCCTCATGCTATGCTTTTTATTCCTGTGGCTTATTTGTTCTGTAACTGAAATCCTGTATCTTCTGCTCCCCTTCACCCACTTTTCCCAAAACCCCATTCCTCTCCCCTCTGGCAACCATCAATTTATTCTCTGCACTCATAGGTCTGATTCTGCTTTTTGCTTATTTGTTTTTTTGTTTTTGTTTATATATTTCACTTGAGTGAAATCATATGGTATTTGTCTTAGTCTGACTTATTTCACTTGGCATGATACCCTTTAGGTCCATCCATGTTGTCTCAAATGACACGATCCCATCTTTTTTATAGCTACATAATATTCGGTTATATAGATAGATAGATGATAGATAGATGATAGATAGATAGATAGATAGATAGATAGATAGATACCACATCTTCTTTGTCCATTTGTCTATTGATGGACACTTAGCCTTCTTCCATATCTTGGCTATTGTAAATGATGCTCCAATAAACATAGGGATGCATGTATCTTTTCCAATCAGTGTTTAAGATTGCTTAAGATCTTCTGGACTCACCCTGACCTGCACATGCATGGATCTGACCCTAATTCACACATCAAAGACTTTGAGGATGGAACTAGTGCGTAGGCCTGAATCTAGATCTCAGATTGACCAGAGTGATGGATGTGTGGGACAGGTCCGAATGATAGAGGCCATGAGAGCTGAACACATTCCACAGAGTGTGAATTGGAACTTGCAGTCTGAATCTAAACAGGTAGATTGCCTGCCAACGTGAAAATATCAACATTCTCCATAGGACTTGAATTAGACTCACAGTCTCATAACATAGGATTGAAAATGTCGAGGATACAATCCAGAAGGACTGAGCATATGAAGAACCACAAAAATCTGGTGATAAATCCTCTCTGGTTTTGTCTGAAAGAGTTTTTGTTTTGCCTTTTTTAAAAGGACATTTTCATTGGATATAAAATTCTAGTCTGGCACTTTAAAAATGTTCCATAGTCTTCTGGGTTCCATAGCTTATGATAGTTTGGATAAAATCCACTGCTATACCTTTAATTTTATTAATCTTTTCTTTTGCTGATAATCTCATCTAGTGAAATATTCCTTTTTGAATATTGTATTTTTCATTTCTAGAATTTCTATTTGATTACTTCTTAAATATTCCATTTCTTTCCTCATTATGTTAATGATTTATCTTTGAGTATATTTATTTTAGCCCTTTTAAGGTCCTTGTTTGGTAATTCCACCATTTTAATGAAACTGTTATTTATGGGTTTGTTTCTCTTGAGTGATTTTTCTTTTGGTAATGGGTAACCTTCTCCTGCTTCTTTGTATGTCTACTAATTTTTAAAAATTAGATAATAAACATTGTGAATTGTTTTAAGGTGCTTGGTTTTATTATATTCCTTTAAATTCCTTAACTTTTTCTCACAGGCAATTAAGTAAGTTACTTAAACATTACTTTAATCCTTTCAAGATTTATCTTAGGCTTCTTTCAGGCTTAAAGTAGCCCTTTTTCTGAAGTGAATTTTGCTGCACTGCTCAGTCACGGCCTTTTTGGGTTCTCTCCTGAATGTCCTGAACATACAGTGAGGTCTGTTCACCCTAGCTGAGAAAGCTCAAACGGTTCCTAACCTGGTATGAATTCTAGGAATATTCCAGTTTACAGGCCACAGTAATTGGCCTGTAAACTGGAATATTTTTTCCCAATACATCAGTTAGCTATTGCTGAGTAACAACATTAAGACAAACTTAGTAGCTTAAAACACATTTATTATCTGTCTCTGTAGGTCGGGGGTCTGAGCACAGCTTAGCTGGGTCCTCTGCAAGACTATAGTCAAGGTGCCAGACAGGGGTGTGGTCTCATCCGATGCTCAAATGAGGGAAAGCCTGCCTACAAACTCATGTAGCTCTTAACTGCATTTAGTTCCTTCAGGCAGTCCTCCCCAGGACCCCAGTTTCACATTGGCTGTCTGCCAGGGCTACCACCAGGTCCCTCCACATGGTCCTTTCATAGGCAGTTCACAGCATGGCAGCTTCCTTCCTCAAAGCCAGCAAGGTAGAGAGAGACTAGCAAGATCAGCACACAGTCTCATATGACTTAATCACCATAAGTGGAATCATGGCTGTCCTGCCACCTTTGATATATTCTGTGTCACTAGAAATAAATTGCAGGTCCCACCCACTGTCAAAGGGAAGGGAATCCCTCAGGGCACAAACACCAGACCATGGGGGCCACTTTGAGAGTCTGTCTGCCATGCTTGGGAAATTGTTTTTGACCAGCCTCACAAAGTTTCATCTTTTTCATGTGCACAATGTTTTTCAGCCAAAGATTCAGTGCAGACTTCTAGAACTCTTTCTCTGTGTAGCTTCCTCCTCTGTGAAACTCTGCCCTCAAATTGTAGCCACCTCGGCTTTACTGAGCTCCCATCTCTGTCTCCCCAACTCAGAAATATTATTATGCTCTTTGGGATCCCCCCTGTCTATATCTCAGTCTAGAAATTACTTCCAAACAATCTGGGCAGTGGTAGTGCTCATTTCATTTGCTTCCCTTCTTAGTGATTACAGCCTGTCTCTAAGGGTATTGTACCTCTGATGACCATCACCCCTGTTCTCTCTAGCATGTCATCCCAGAGTGGTTTTGTTCAATCTCATTTTTAAAACTCCCATATGTATTATTGTACACTTAGTTTCTGTTTTGATTTGCCCACATTTTATTGGTGTCTGTATTCATTATTTCTTTCTTCATCTCAGAGGTTCTTCCAGGGATAATTTTCCTAGTGAAATAGATCTTTAATACATTTCTCTCGTGAGAGTCTGCTAGTTGAAAACACTCTTTCTCTTTTTTTGTTAGTTTGTTTTGTTTTGGTCTAAATGTTTATTCATCTCATATTTTTTCTTGAAATTTATTTTAGCAGAGTATGCAATACTAGGTTGACAATTGCTTTCTTTCAGAACATGGGAGACATTATTTCACTATTTTATGGCTTCCTTCAGCTGCTTTTAAGAAGCTTTCTGTTGGGGCACCTGGGTGGCTCAGTCGGTTAAGTGACTGCCTTGGGCTCAGGTCATGATCTCAGGGTCCTGGGATCAAGCCCCGCATCCGGCTCCCTGCTCGGCGGGAAGCCTGCTTCTCCCTCTCCCACTCGCCCTGCTTGTGTTCCCTCTCTCACTGTGTCTCTCTCTGTCACATAAATAAATAAAATCCTTAAAAAAAAAAAAAAAAGAAGCTTTCTGTCAATCTAATTGCCTATACTTTGTAGATGATTTATCTTTTCTCTCTGGCATCAGAGACTTTCTCTGATTCTGTGAACTTCTCTTGATCTCTGCTATTTCACTGTTTTAATTCAACAGTCTAGATGTAACTTTTGTTTTTATTTTGCTTGGGGTTTGCCTCCTGAATCTTCATAGCCATTTCTCTTATCAATTCTGGGAAACTCATTAATTTTTTTAAAATGACCAATATGATTGGCTTATTATTTCTCTCCTCTGTCATCTCTTAACCCCTCTTTTTATTCTCCACTATTTTGTCTTTTTTGCTATATTTTCAGTAATACAATAAGATATATCTTCCCTTATTTTCTTTTTGGCTCCATCTTCTTATGTTTT